CTTCAAAATCACCTTTTGTGGCATTCTAAAGACAGATAGAAGGTAAGTTGGCAAGTTCGCAAGAGTAGCTCTAATTAAAGTGATCCGACCTCCAAGGGAAATGTAGTTTCTCTTCCAAACTGCCAGGTCCAAACCTGTCCCTCCTAAAGTTGGAGCCCTTTGTTGGGAAGTCTCCCTCGGGAAAATCAACACTTTGGATGTTTTGCAAAAAAGAAGACCTAGTCTTTATATCTCTCCTAACTTGCCCTTTTGTTGTAGGCCTTTGGGAAAAACTTTTTGATCTTCTTGGGTGCAGGTGGATAGAACTGGTGCAGATTTCAATCTTTTTGATCCTACAACTTTTAGGTGGCCAAAGAGAAGAGGAAGAGTTTTGTGGAGGTGTGTTAGAGCTGCTTTGGTGTGGACTGTGTGGGAGGGACAAGGAGAGGGATCAAACATGTGTGTTAGAAAGTATCTTATGTAGGGCCATAAGTTGGGTAAAATCCTTTGATCTGTTTTCCATCCACACTTACGTTGGCATTAGGAGAAATTGGGAACAAGTAGCTAAAAGTTCTGCAATCAGAAGCAAGCTGGTGGTGGATTGGAAGCCTCCTGATGCAGGTGTCATTAAACTAAATTTTGATGGCAGTTGTTTGGGCAACCCGGGGCCATGTGGAATAAGGGGAGTCTTCAGAAATGATGAGGGTCAGATTGTAGCACTATTTTCTGGTCCTGTAGGGTGGGGAGACTCTGTAAATGCAGAACTCCAAGCTGTGTTACAAGGAGCAGAATATGCAAGAGAGTTAGCAGTGGAGCATTTAATGATTGRAGGTGATTCCAAATTGGTTATTGGATGGCTAAAAGAACCAGAGACGGCAGCCTGGCCGTACAGGGGGGCATTGAGAAGATTTAAGTGGCTGACTTCAAATATTTCAATCACAGTTCAATGGGAAAGAAGATCGGCAAATGGGCTGGCAGACCTTCTAACTAAACTAGGAGTACATAGGAATCAGCTCTTTTGGGCTCAATTGTAAGCTTTATGATGTAGTTTGGAGGCTGCACCTCGCGCCTCTTTGTGGGGAATTGTATGATGAATACTTAATTCTTTATTTACTAAAATTTTCATTATCATTATCTATAAAAAAAACCGAAAATTTCAGTTATTTTGGTTAAAATCGAATTTTAATAATATATACTCTATCATATATTATAACATATAATATATATTATATATTATAAAATATATATTATGAAATCAAATATCATTTTATTATATATTAATATATAAATATATTATATATAATAATAGAAAGTTTGGTTAACCAAGTTTCTAGTTTTAAAAATCGAAACCAAAAACTGAATTAACCGAACTTATTTAACCAAAAAACTGAATAAACCGAAACTGAAATTTTCTGTTCAGTTTTTTGGTTTTAACCGAATAGTGCTTACCCCTAGTCAAAAGGAGTGCCAACTCATTTGCAAATGCCTTAGCCAAATAGGGTGTAGGGAGGACTCAATCTATATGGGCTTGTTTGTAACTCTTTATGTTAGTGTTGATCTTGGGGAGGGTTAAGGGAGTTTACCCCTCCTCTTGGTTGTTGTACTTGATTCTTTTTTGTTATTAATAAAATTTCTATTATTGATAAAAAAGTGGATCAAATATAAGTCAAAAAGATTTTTTCCTTACTAGGAGAATATAACGAATGATTTGTAAGGATTGCAAAGTTATTCTAGGGGAAGGTGGAATGCTTAACCAAACAATATAGATTAGTGGTAATAGATGTGCACATTAAGAAATGAAAGAGAGAGAGAGGAAAAAATAGGTGTCCAAGAATTAGGTGGGAAATCCTAAAAGGAGAATAACTAGCTCAATTTAGAGGTTGGTTGATAGAATAAGGAAAACGAGATTTAGATGGAAAAGACTAATGATATATTGCTTGAAATGGCATACTACTTAAAGAAAGTAGCAAGGGATGTCTAATGAGAATGGGGTCATTTTTGCCTTGTTCTCAGGCCCAGTTGGAGTGGGTGACTCCCTTAGAGCTGAGATCTTTGCAGTTATGGAAGGAGTCCAGAAAGCCAGGGAGATGAACATCAGAAAACTCTTAATTGAAGGGGATTTGGAGGTGGTGATAGGGTGGCTGAATGCAGACAACAATGGTTTATGGAGGTACAGTAATCAGAGGAGGAAATTTAAGTGGCTGGKGCGGGAGATGGAAGTTAAAATGTGTTGGGTCAAAAGATCAGCCAATTCTCTAGCTGATGGTTTAGCTAAACAAGGGGCAGAAAGGGATTCAATGTTTTGGGCTAAGTTGTCATTTTTGTTTCTACCTATTCTTTTGTTTTCTTGATTGTACTTGGAAGATAAGTGTGTTTGTCTTCCTTATGTAACCTCTTTGGTGAATTAATGAAATTGTTATTGATAAAAAAAAGAATTTAAGGGGAACTGGAAAGTGCTAAAGGAACTTGGTGGTGGAATGAAGAGATACAAAATATAATCAGATTAAAATGAGCATATTACAAAGAATGACAAAATACTAGAAATGCAGGTAATTGGGAAAAATATAAAATTGTAAAAAAGGTATTTAATGGGAATCTGAGAACAAAGTAATGCCATTAGTCACCCTAACTATCCTTTTCCTAGCAATGGGAACATGAGAACTATTTGCTATAGAGACTTTATCTCTACTAGAACACAACTGGTAAGAATTGAAAAGGGTAGGCATATTGGTTATGTGCTCAAATGCTCTTGAGTCTATAATCTGGGAAGATCCCTCCTTACATGAGGTGGTTGCATAATTTTCCACGAGCACTAATAGCCATCTTGGCCGATTGTGCCCATTCTAAATAGTTTGTACCATCTAATTTAACTGTGACAATAATCCTAGGTCCAAAAGAATCACTAGTACTTGCTCCACCTAGTCTTAGGTCATTGGGTTGACTTTTGCTCAGTACTCCAGCCCTCCATTGTTCTCGGAATAGATTACAAAAACAATTGTAGGCGGGAAAAAATTATATCCTTTGGAGGCCTCAAGTACCCTTTTGGTACTTAGAAACCTCCTCCCACCAAGATTTTGCCTTTGTGGGAAACGGTAGAAGCAAGAGAAAAGGCTGCCGCTCCCTCCAGAGACCTTAGAAAGCCCTAGAACTTGAACTGCCCCCTTTAGAAGTCACCAATAAATCCAAAAAATCTAGAGCGCTCCATCCTAGGTCAAAATTGAAGAGTCCTAACGTAGACTTGTTTGGGCTTGCCTCGAGGGCATGGTACAAAGGCGGCTCGTAGAATCAGAAATGTAATATGTTTTACATCACATTAACTACTTGAAGTAATGCAATTGAGAAAAAAAGAGATTGTGGGTTTTATATGATTGAAAATGTTTTATATATTTCTCTTTACTTATTAAAAAAAATGAAGGGAAGATCACTAAAAGAGTTAAAGGGAGATAGAGAGAAAGACAACTATTTAAGTTTCTTAATCTTCTCTTATTTGATTTATAAAAAATGTTTTATATATTTGATTTTATTTTTGAATTCTCATTTGAATATGCTTTACAAGTTATATTTATGCATTTTAATATTAGATAATGGGTTTTTTAAAACATTTATTTTAAATTTAAAGTTTATATTTTTATTAATATTATGTTTAATAATTTTTTGATTTTTTGCTTTCTTTTGTTTTTTTTTTGATTTTTTAGACTTTATTTTTTATTTTTGCGCCTTGCGCCTGAGGCGCGAATGGACCCTTGCGCCTTTTTTTGCACCTTGCACTCTTAAAACACTGGTTCTACTGCAATTAGGATTCTTCCCCCTTCTCCAATTCTTTGTGATTTTGGTGATCAACCCTAGATATGCTACAAGGGGTTTTAGATCCACCAAAAAATCCAAGAACTGGGCACTTTTGAGGTCTTCGATCAGCCCTCTAAATCAACATGCAGTTGGCTGATTTAGGGCTGCATGATCGGATGGGAGGCATAGAAAAGCTCAAATATTGGTCTGATACCAAGTAGAAATCTGCAGAAAGAAAAACTGTAGAGAAAGATGAAGAAAAGAGGTGGTTTTTGTGAGAAGAGAGAAGAAGAGAAAGAATGGAGAAAAGAAAGAGAGAGCAATCAAATCTGGCCACCCCCTCTTATTGTTATTTATACTTTTAAGTAAAAAATTTGTACAAAGACCAATATGCCCTTATAGGGTGGCTAACACAAAAAACTCAATAAAAATACTTAAAAACACCACTCTAAAGGGTCCCAACAGGTGTGCTGTGGTCCCCACTCCCTAACTAAACAAATAATAAACAAATTAACCAATAAATCTGCACAAATTCCTCAACACATGGAAATATAGAATTATCAGAAGATAATTGCAGCAGCTAATTCAATACTTGGGTGCTCTGACTGGGGTGCCTAGATTGGCAAATGGATTAGCAGATAGGTTGGCAAGGCAAGGGGTGGGCAGAGAGCATTTGTATTGGGGTGTCATTGAGTAAAGGGAGATCTATTTGTAATATCAAAGCCTTGGGTTGTTAGCCGAGGCTAACCACTTTCTGCACATCTTTGTATCAACTTCTGTTTTTCAGTAATAAAAACAGTATACCTCTTTGTATGAATTCATGTTACAAATAGTGTATTCATATCAAAATACATCCTCTCATGTACACATTTTTTGCCATATAATACCTTATACACAATTACCTTTCTATCTATCTTAACTTGTAAAATTTCTTATTTGTTGCTTATGTTTCTATGCACAAGAGTGTTATTTATGCTCAGTTTGGAAAGAGTACAGATACATACAAAACAATACAAAATACAAGGTTTTGCACTCTACATATTTGTATTTATACTCCTTCCAAACTGAGCCTTAATAGGAATTTACTTTATCACTTCAATTTTCTAGAAAAGCTTGATAGTTCTATAATCATGCCTTAGAGGCAATGCTTATTTTGATTGGTAAATATGTTCAGGATTATTACATGAAATGCTTCGGTCGGCCAAGACAGGAGACTCAAAATCAACTTGGAAGGTATTTTAGAATTACAATTATGATTTTGGTGAGAAATGAGTGCATTGATGCTTATATAATCCATTTGTTATGTTGGCAGAAGTGCATTTTGTTTCTTTTGTTAGTGACAGGTTTGCTAGAGATCAGGATTGTGTTTCTGCATTTTTGCCTAAATTAGTTAGCTGTGCATCATTAATTCATGTTCAGCGCTGGTTTCAGGGTCTCTATTGTATACCTGCAAGAAATTTTCTGTAGTACTTGCCCATTCATTCATGATTTTAGTTTCGCTAAGCAGAGCACCTTTTGTTATGCATGCAAATACAGATACATGTACATAACAGGATGGCTAGGGTTCACATCGGAAACTAATGGCATGTGATCTAGAAACATTGTGCAGTGCTTTCCCCTGAAAGAAATGGTAAAAAAAGAAAAGAAAAGAAAAGAAAAAAGAACTCCTGTTTTCACTAATTTCTGGGGTTCACCATGTTCAATATGGTTCCATCACCTGGCTATGTTTCATGTAAGAATTATTGATGCATAAGTTTTGAATTGTTGATAAAAATTCATAGCTTTTGAACTGAACAAGTTTATGATAATTTGGTTGTTAATTCTATAGAAAATTATTGCCAAAGGTCCTCTATTGCAAAATGATGTTGAAATAAAATTTTCTTTATTTTCTTTTAGTTGATACATAATACAGTCTGTTTCTGCCTTAACATGATTTCTTTACTTCTGTGGCAACTACCAAATTTCTGCTCTTAAGACCTCATGTTTCTACCAAAAAAAAGAAGAAAAAAAATCTTTATGTAATTTATTATGGTTTGGCTGTTATTACCATGCTGATTTTCACTCTATTTCTTGGAAAATCATGGGACAACTCTGCACTTTTCATTTCTATGAGATCCCTGCTATACAAGGCTAGTCAATTTTAACCAATGACAAACAGGTATTGATCATGGACAAAGTTACTGTCAAGATCATGTCTTATGCTTGCAAGATGGCTGACATCACAGAGGAAGGAATATCATGTAAGCAACGAAAGGCATTATTTGAAAAATTTTAGACTTTAATTTTCTTCTTAGATATTGATTTATCTATTTGATCCCAAGGCATGTTGTTTACCCACCACCACTTCATGTCTATTACTTGCTTTTAGAAGATCATAATGAATCTTGAGTTGACCATCTGTTTCCTAACTTTCTTGTTTTCTCGTCTACTTTTTTGTTTGACAGAATTGTAGATTTCAGTTTCTAAAAATTGTTATTGTATCTTAAATCATAGAGAAGGGTGGATTGAATTGGATTGTGAATGATATTGTAAATCTAAGTTTTTTTTCTATTTTTCTTTTCTCTCTCTCTCTCTTTTTTTTTTTTAAGTTTACATTGCATATAGAAATAGAAGCTGGGTGGGACCAGTAGCCAAGAAACATGTCCAAAAAATAAGTGTGGCAGGAATGTGAATAATGAGTGGAAAAACTAGCAAGGATAGGATAATAAATGGACTTACTTTAAGCCTAAGGAACCTAGTGCTCCAATAGGTAATTAAATGAGAGAAAGTAGACTAAGATGGTTTGGGCTTGTGTAGAGAAGACCATCTACAGCACCAGTAAGAAGTGATCTAGTACAAGTTGACGGGGCTAGGAAGCTAGGGGCAGACCAAAAAGGACATGGGTTGAAGTAACGAGGAATGATATAATGGCCCATAGTTTAACAATGGATATGACACTGAACAGAATGGAATGCTGGAACATGATTCATGTAGCTGACCCACACAAACGGGTCAGTCTTAGATGATGATGATGATGATATGGCACTGAACAAAAACGTAATGGTGGAATAGGGTTCATGTAACCGGCCCAATATAGGAAAAGGGTTAGATGGTGATCGTAAATCTAAGATTTTCTGTTGTTTAATAGTTTTGTCAAGAACAAAAATATTAGAGTAAAAAATTAAATAGAAAACAAAATGATTTTGAATCATTTGCTATCCCGATCCACCATATTGGAGCTGAAGAAGTCGTGGGTGTTTTTGGTAGGGAATGAGTCTGTTGCCTGGTTCCAGAACTTCGTTGCCTGGCATGGAGCATGTGGAGGAGGTTAGGGAAGTTTGAAGCAAAAAATCTCTTTTTTGAAGTGTTCAGAGTTGGTGGGAAGGTGTCTTTGAAGATTAGGGAGCTGAAAGTCGTGGTGTTTTTGGTAGGGAATGAGTTTGTCGCTTGGTTCTAGAACTTCGTTGCTGATGCCTTGTTTGGGGGTTGGGGTGCTTGATGTTTGGGGGCCTTTGGTTGGGTTTTGGTTACTTTCTGTTTCCTGTAGCTCCTTTGTAGGTGTTTTCTCAACACTGTCCCTGGTTGTAATTGTTTGTTTTCTTTTTTAATGAATTTTTCTTTGTACTTATCGAAAAAAAAGTTTGGACTGGAAGAGTTTTAAGGTGGAAGGAAGAAGATATGAAGCAGAGAGGAGGAATGGCGGAGGTAATTTCATTGCCCTGCTTGAATGCTTCGGGTAAGGAAGAAAGCAGCTGGTTTGTTTCCCTGAAGGAAGAGAAGGAAAAGGGTAGGCCTTAATCTCTAAGGGTTTCTCTGAGCACCTTAAGAAAGCTTGCATAACATTCAAAGAAATTAAGATGTCAAGAAAGGAAAATTTAGTTACCAAAGAGAAGGATTTAAGGAAAACTATAATCACAGCAAGAGGAAACTGGAAGAGTAAGACGGGATGTTCAAGAAGGAAAGAAGAACTGGACTAAGATGCTGGTAGCTGAAGTGAAGCAAGAGATTCATGATTGGTAGAAGATAGCAGAGGTGATAAGTCGAGGGTTAAAGCTCAAGGAAACAATTATTGTAACACCTTTTGAAAAGCGTGAAGCTCTCGTTGATTTGGATGAAGAAGAGTTGGAGTTGGGAGCTGTAAATTTACAGTCTATTTATGGAAATATGCTTATTTCAAGCTGGTCCCCCCTGTCCAATGCGAAGTCTTTGTGTATCGAAGATGGTGTTACTATTAGATTGGTCAGACTTCCTTTCCATCTTTGGAAGCAAGAAGTTTCCATGTCCACTGCTTCAATTTGTGGAGGGAAACTGGTGGGAGTCTTTACTTCCGATTTGCATTCAGCAGCTATACTCAATGATGTGATCCGGGAAGACATACCTAGGATGGTGGAAGTCCGGACTGATATTCTTGTTTACTCAATCTGGATTGCAGCCTCCATTGAAGTAGTTCTTTGGACAGAAGCCAGTAGAGAAGAAGGCTTAGGGGTTGAAGATGATTGGCTTCATGACATAACAGGATTGAATCATTTCAAATTTTCTGAGGAGTTTGTTTTAAAGGAGAAACCTAGGCAAGGTGTTGAAAAAGAGGGAGATAAGGAGCCTTACCTAGGAAGGGTTGCAGAGGTTGCATGTGGTAGTTCTCTTCTGCAGGCTATCAACTACAAAGAAGGTGAAAGTCTAGCTCAAAGGACCCAAGGGCTGATGGGGAGAAGTTTTTGAATCCTAGGTTGGAAGTGAGGTGGCCAACCCGGTCTTGTGTTTTGAGCCAGGGCTTGTTGAACCAGTAAGGGAAGCTTTAATTCAAACTAAAGTCACTAGGTCAGCTGGTTCTAAACCGGTATCTTCGAAACCAGGAGATCTTGTTCCAAGTAGCGAGGTTGGGCGGGTTGTAACTAGTTGTGGGCCTGATAAGTCCGAAGTTGTTACAAGGTCACATGATAATTTAAGTGAGTTTGCAATGGTGGCGATTTTCGAACAGGATCTTATTTGGAAGTTCCCCTTCTGGTTTTTTCAATTGCTCTTCTTTCTATAATATTCTACTTCAGACCAAGGTTCATCCTGTATTGGGGGCTTCTCGATACACCCCTACAGGGGGTGTTTCAGGGTCTCGACCGGTTCAGAGGGTGGACGGACCTTAAACCAGCCCTTCTGAACCAAATTCAAAAAAAAAAACTAAAAGAAAAAAAAAAAGCTATCGGTACTGCTCAATACGCCACTACTAGCGTATTGATATTTTGAGCCTTGCTTCGGACCTCTAACCTTGTAGGGAACTTTCCATCAAAGGAGGTGTGGTGTAGCCCTGTACTTCCAAAAATTAAGGCTTTTGCTGGGAAGTGGTACTCCAAAAAATTAGATGTCGTTTGCCAAGTCTTTTTATAAAGATCTTCTAGCAGCTTAGATGGCCAAAAGACATATTGAGCTTTTGGGGTCTTGTCCTTAAAGACAAAGACCGTTTGGTAAGCGGCACGGTCTATCGGGCTTTTAGAAACGCATTTAGAGGCTATATATCATGCAAAAAGACTAGAAAGCTTTAATTGAAGCTTCCTGAAATTCAATGTTTTTGGTCTTTTTGAGTTTTTCCACACACGTCTTCTTGTTTTTTTGGATTTTGGTTACCAAATGAAAAAAGACAAAATTTTGGTTTTTTGAGCTTGCTGAAGCCCAGAAGACCACATGGAAAGACTTGCCAAATGCTGCCTTAATACCTTGGATTTATTACAATAAAAGAGGTCAAATATGTGCCTCACCCCAAGGTTCAAAATATCGACACAGTCGATACTACTGGCGTATCGACCTGTATTGAGGCTCGTTTTTTCTTTTTTTTAGTTTTTATTTTTCAATCTGGTTTAGAGGGGTCAGTTTAAGGCCCGTCTACCCCCCGATACGATACATATCGACTGATACAGCCTGATACGTATCAAAACTTTGAACCTTGCCTCACCCCATGTTTGTAGTCTTTTCTTGGGTTTTGGTGAGACGATCTCACACTTATTAATCTCATGCCCTTTTGTGTTATTTATTTGGTCTTGGTTGTCTTCTCTCTTTGGTTGCAGGTGGGCTCCCAGAATCTCTTGAGCCCTAGAACAACAAACAGTGTCTTGGCATTTTGTTTGAGGTTAACTGTTGTGCATCCGTTGGAGATACTTTAGGGGAGTTGCAGAGGGAAGTACAGAATAACAGGATAGAACACGAGGAGCAAATATGTTTGGAAGATGCAGGTAGGGTTAGAGAGAAAAACTAGGAGGCCAGCATTTTACTTAATGAGCTAAGAATGACTTTGGATTTGACCACTGAAGACTCAGTTTTGATCTTTGATGTCAGCGACTTGAATACGAAAAAAGAAGGAAAAGTTTGCTCCATCGACAATGAACTTCCTCTGGGGCAAGGGGTCTCACTAAATCATCCTACTGTCCGCATAGGTTTTTATTGGCTAGTTAGGGGTGGATTTAGGAAGGAAAGACAAAAATATGTTAGAAGGGAACATTAATCCTTTGAGAATTGAGATTGTGTTGAGAAAGGCCAAAATTCCAACAATGGACAATTAGTTCATGTTACAAAAGTTTGACATCGATTGAAGGAAGGCATTTTTTGGGGATGGTCCTTGTAGAAAATTCAAGAGTATGTATAAGAGAAGGTCTTCAAAGACCAAAATTAAAGAAAAGATCTTTGCTGGAAGTTGTGTCCATGATAAGTCAAAGTTTGAGGTTTAAATTGAGGATGTGGGACTTCATAAAAGTCAATTAAAAAGTTCCTTGCAAAGAGAGGTGGAGGAAAGGAGACAGGAAGTTGGTTCAGGGGAAGACAACCCAGTGATTTAAAAGGCACGCCTAGGCGCACAGGCAAGGCACATTTTAGGGTATGTGCCTCGCCTAGGTCCTAGGCGCACCCCTTTCAAAAGGTGCAGGCGTGGTACAAAGGTGACTCATAGAATCAAGAATGCAATATGTTTTACATCACATTAGCTACTTGAACTAATGCAATTGAGGAAAAAAAGAGATTGTGGGTTTTACATGCTTGAAAATGCTTTATATGTTTGTTTTTATTTTTAAATTTTCATTTGAATACGCTTTACATGTTATGTTTATGTATTTTAATTTTAGATAATAGGTTTTTTAAAACATTTATTTCAAATTTTAAGTTTATATTTTTTATTAATATTATGTTTTTTTGAATTTTTGCATTTTTTATTTTTTTGGCATTTTTTGAATTTTCTGACTTTTCTTTTGATTTTTAGCTTTTTGTTTTTTGTATTTTTACGCCATACTTCAAAAAGGCATGCACCTCGCTTTGCGCCTTAGGCGCAAATTGGCCCTTATGCTTTTTTTTTTGCGCCCTACGCTTTTAAAACATTGAGACAACCCAGGCGAAGAGAAAAAAGGTGAGGAAAATGAGATCTCAGAGGAAGACAATTCTAATGAGGAGCAAGAAGAGGAGGGAGAGTTGTTGGACAAACTAAGAAAGGTAGAAAAGAAAGTAGATGCGGACAAGGTAGTGGAAACTGCTGTTAAGCAAACAAGGCTTTAGGATTTTGGGTGCTAGGAGGGGAAGAATGACAAGGAAGCTGTTCAAGGACCTGGAGGAGAGATATCTCTTGAATGAAGAAAGGTCTGAAGAGGATTTCTGAGGTGAATGTTATTGCAAGGACCAACCCTATTAAAAGGGTTTCTGGGTCTTGATTGGGTTCTGGGATTTGTTTTGTCCTCTTGGCTTTTTGTTGCCTTTGTTTCTTCTGTAATTAAAAAATAGGGATGAAGGGTTGTGTTTTGGTGGATTTTGGGTGTTATTTTGGGGGTGATATCTTGTCACCTGTTTGTTTATCTCTCTCCCTTCTAATAATAGTTTTCTTTTTATTTATTACCAAAAAAAAGATCCACCACATAATTAATACAACAAAGCTAATCACTTGTGCACTAAATCCTTAAGGTGGTATAGGCAACATTGGCTTCAAAGTCAAGTAACACACATAGTATTTCTTTCTCCTACATATGGTGGAAAATAAAGTTAATAAGATCTATAACAGGGTTTTAAATAACCAAATAATTGTTACTCTAGTAAGGGTTTTAAGAATAGTTCATCGTGTAAACTAAAAAAATGATGAAAGTATAGAACTAAATCCTGTTAAAATTGATATGAATCACATGAGCGGGGGAAGACAAATCATGAGATTCACAAAGTGAAACATAAGATTAACATAGTAATCATAAAATGCTTTTGTTTTTTTTTTGTTTTGTTTTTAGGAAGGATTCCGTGATAAGATTCAAATTGAAGTCCCTTATTCTTGGGACTCAAGATTACTATTGTGGACCATATCATAAATTGTAAAATTTTGGCAACTATCTATTGGGATGCTCTGACAATTGTGAGTCGATGGGGTCATTTGATAATTGCAATTGCTGCAATTAGCTATATTACATTGATTTGAAATATCATGAGTCACTAGAGGACATCTTATCTCATCATTATCCTAACATTGGTTTATCTGTTAAGAGTCTCCATTGAGTTCTAGACAGATGGATATTTTACCTCTTTGTTTTGATTTTTACATGGAAATCTGTACTAAAAATATGTCATTTTTGTGTTTCTAGCATTTGTTTCTTATTAAGTTAACTATTTTTCAAACTTTTCAAATGCTTCTTGCAGTGGTGGAAGACATTTACAGACGAAGGCAACCACTGCCCTCCATGGACGCTATTTACTTCATCCAGCCAACAAAGGAGAAGTATTTCCCTTAGCTTTGCTGTTGATATGCATTTTTCTAGTTCCCATTAAAGATGATCTATATATTTGTTTTCTAACATTTACAGGTTGTGTGATGCTTTCCTTTTTCTATCCTTTATGAAGTATTGTAAATCGCTTAGCTTGGTCCAAAGTGAATATGTTCCCTTTTTGTTTCCCTTCCTTCTCATGTCACAAAAGTTGGGGTACCACAGTGATTCTTAAACAAAATTTGGACATAAGCTATTTTAGACTGCAAAGTAAATTGGAGGAAGCATAACATATGTTGATAAATACAAAATCATATCTTTAGGTCTTATTTGTAGTGAAAAGAGCAATTGCTCTGTGCAGGCAATTTAGTACTTACCTGACTAGCTTATTGACAAGTTTTTTGCTAAGCTCAAAGTTGTTGCATGAATATTTATTTTTGACATCCTCTATTTGTCCAAGATTAAGGTTTAAACATATAAAAATGTATGCGACCAATTTTCTACAATGAGATAACTCACTCAACTGAACTCAACCTTTTGTTCTTTTGATTGATAACCAAATTTCATTTATTTATTTATTTTGATAAGAAATGTTAACTTTCATTAAAGATATTAAAAGGAGAGTACAGTTATCACCACCCAAAGGATGGATGGAAAAACAGAATAGAAGTCTTACAAACAAGCCCAAAACAAAGTCTCCCTAATAACTCCTTGCTTAGCTAATGTGTCAGCCATTCCATTTGCTGACCTTACCCAATTAAATTTCACCCCAGGTTCCCTTGCTAAGCTAAACATCTCTCTTAGAGGCTGTCAAAGTGACCATACTCCCAAGTTTCTAGATTGCATCCACCCTATTACCAGCTTGGAGTCTTCTTCCACTTCTAAGTGTTGCATATCCCATTGTTTTGCCAATTTCAGTCCTTGAAGTAAGTCCATGACTTCTGCCCTCAAGGAATCTTCCACCCTAATTGGGCCCGAGTAAAGGGCCAAAACTCTTCCTTCCTAATTTCTGAAGACACCCCCAACTCCCGACGGGCCCGGATTACCTAATGAGCTTCCATCAAAGTTTAATTTCACCCTGAACTAAGACAGTGGTAACCAAACCTCTTGAATTACAAGGGAGAAGGGAGAGGAGACAGCTATAGAGCTCCAATTTCTAATTAAGTCAGCTGAGGAGAGGTCCTTGAAAAGTTGTTGCACTTTCAACCAATGAAGAATCTTGATGGTAATGGCCTCAACAAGTGCTTCTTTGGATTTTTCTTGCCCTTGGAAAATCCTATTATTTCTCTCTTCCCAAATTGACCAAAGGACGGCTGCACTTGTTATTCTCCACATTACCCTGCCTCTTTTCTTTGGTTGCCAAAAGAAGCTAGGGTCAAAGAGATTCAGCACACACGAGGGGGGATTCCATCTGCAACCAAAAAGAGAAGAGAACCAATCTCACAAATAAGAAGCAAAAGGACAAGAAATCAAAAGATGAGTCACCATCTCCCCACTTCTTAAGCAAAGGCAACAGACATGTGGGGAAAGGCACCAATCTGGCCTTTTTCTTTGAAGTACATCCATAGTGTTGATCTTTTGGAGAGCCACTTCCCAGCTAAAAGCCCTAACCTTTGGTGGAACAGGAGTACATCGCACTTGTTTAGTAGGAAAGGAGACATGCGCAGTAGAAGGCTGAATTAGGGCATTGAAAAAAGAGGAACAAGAGAAGGCCCCTGAATAGGATTCTGTCCAAATTCTACTGTCAGGTCCCCCCAGATACATAGAAAGAGGAAATGACTTTGGATTTATTTAGGGTAAGAGAATATATTACCGGGAATCTGTTCTTAAGGAGGGTGTTCCCAAGCCAAAGATCCTCCCGAAACAGAATTTTATTACCTGAGCACAGATCAAATCTGATGAAAGGGCGAAACCAAACTTCATTTATGTATGAAAAAGAATTAATATCAGTACATGATGTACTGAACACCACCTCACCACCTTTTGAAAGATAAGCCAGGACTGCCAGGTATCATATCAGCTAAGCTGTTAAATGATCCCTGTGTTAATATGAATGTTGCCTGCAATTCCATGGCCAACTATGGAGTTTTTCTTACTATTTTTGAACCCTCTTCCACTACCAGGTTTCTGTAAATAAGACATGGCCAATCTTCAACCCCTGCAATACAGCAAACAGTTATACTGTTGTAGATTTCCCATGGTGAATGAACCCCTGAAACAATAGCCTTTATGTTTCTGTTGGCTTTTCATGGATGCTCCTCTTAAGCTTGACTTGCTTGGTTTTCCCAAACTGCAACCCTAAAAGTTACCTTGATAGGTTAAGGTGCTGGTGGTAACTGAAGAGATAATTGGGATGGATAGGTTTTCTCTGAGGGGAATAGAATTTGTCTTGAGAGGGAGTTTGAGGAGAAAGAAGTGAAAAGAGTTTGTTTTTTTCTCTGCTATTCTCCTATTCCATCATCTTTGTGATTCTCTTGATGTATGTCTTGATCGATTTCCTCCTCCAATCCTTCTTTTTTATCCCCTCAAGCATGCCACATATTAATCTCCAAATCTGTTCTCCTTCCTTCCTATTCTTCCCCTTTAATTCCTTCATCACATCTTCTCCTTTCTCAACCTCTTCTCCCTGCCCAGCAATATATTACTTCTCTAGTGGTAATGGTTGGGAGACTGGTGAATCTGTATCAAGCATGGGAGAGGTGTTAGTATTCAAAACAAAACCAATACACATACCTGGGTGGGGATGATCTAACACAACCCAAAGAAGTAGCAAACTCTTCCACAATAAAAGATAAAAATTTTGATGGAGTGAAAGTTGCCTCTAAATGAATGTTGAACTTTGATGGAAGCTCATTAGGCAACCTAGGCGCTTCAGGTATTGGGGGGGTGTTTAGGGATTCAAGGGGAAGGTGGTGGCGTTGTACTCAGGTCTGATAGGGGTTGGGGACTCATTAAAAGCTAGTGATGGCACCATAAGGAATGGGGATAACTAAACAACTTGGGTATCATGATGTGGAGGTGAAGGGTGACTCAGAATTGGTAATTTCTGGGATGAGTAGTAGCAACCCTGGAGCTTGGAGTTATAGGAAAATCTAAGAGAAATTGAGAGTATCACAAAGGAGGTGGGGCAGTGGGGGCCACTTTTAGTTGGGTGAAGAGAACTACAAATGAGATGGTTGATTCATTGGCCAAGAAAGGGGTTTTTAGGGAATATCTTTTCTGGGTAGAGCTGTCATTTGGATTTATTAGCAATGTAAAGGGTGGCATGGTAAATAAACCCTGACCCTAAATTGTATTGTTTTAATCTAATTTAATGTAATCTTGTTGCTGTTAAAAAAAACTCAGCCATCCATATTTTTTTGGTAATAGAAATATAATTTATTAAAAAGGAAAAAGAGAGTACAAAAGGGGAGCAGCCCAAAATCACCCGATAGAGAAGAAAAAGGGCAACTCCAGCTCCTAAAACAAGAGACCAAACCAGCCGGGACTCAACAATAACACCAAAACTCAAAAGCCTAAAAGACCACTAAAATCATAAACCACAACAACCAAAGAGCAAGCAACTCAGAAAAATTCAACCTCAAAGACAGCACAAACCATTCTCTTCAAAGCCATTATAAAGCAACAACCTCCCTCAAAAAACCAGCACCAAAACCACTCACAATCTTTTCATCCTCTAAATCACTGATCACTAAAAGCTTCTAGCGGTTTTCTTGGTTTAATCCCAAAGAGGCTACCTCTTGGTCTATCAAAAGCCTTTGAAACCAGAATGTCTCACTGTTTTCTCTGTTTTTTAAATCTTCTATTTGCTAAAACTTTCTTTCAGTATTCCAACAAGCAAGAGGGATTCTCATTAATTCTTTCCAGTTCCAGCACTGTATTTTTCTTGAATAACTAGGCATCCACCAAAGCTTTGGTCTTTTCGCTAACATCCTCTTCCAGACTAGTAGTTAAATTATTGTGGCCTTCATTGATTAGTGGTGATTGGTGAATGCACATGAAAATCTTCATCACTCTCCCTAACAGGCAACGCTTAGCGTTCCTCCAGTTCTTTGAACATCCTCCTAGTAAAAGACTGACCTCCCAAAACAAACAAGCCTAGAGCTTTATTTACCTCCACAGCCATGTTTACAACCTTAGTTATATCAACATCTTTGTCAATCTGATGAGTCTCATCTATACAATCTTCTTCCTCATCTTCCTCACTTAGGCTTCCCTCCTCATCTGATGAAGAAACACCATCTTGACTCCTTTCAACAACAGTCTCTGATAGAGGTCTTGTTCTGTAAATTCTTCTGCAATTATAAATTTTCGATCTCCCAACAAATTGTCTTTTTCGTTTAGTTCTTCCCTCATCCTCTTCTAATCTCTTCCCCTCCGGGGTAGGAATTGAGACTGAACAGGACTGTGGATCCTTCACTGATCTTCCCCACCATCCTCAGGGATCAGCACTAGGACTTGATCTGTACTCGTAGTTGAGAAAATCAGCACCCACCTCCTTTGGTTGTTTACTCTCAGAACTCTTCCCCATATTAAACTCAGAGAAAAAGAAGGAAACAAAGTAGCATACTTCCAAAGCACACTTTTGCTCCAACAAAATATGACTGAGGGAGATGCACTCAACTAACTCTTTCTCTCTCCAAAGAGCAAAAAGGTGTCTTCCTTACCTTTTCCTGAATGAGGCGATGTAGAGACAATTCCCAGACCATTTTGAACCTTTGTCTATACCAAGATTTCAGCTTATATATGTAAATCCAATAATGCAAGGCTGTTATGGGAATGTGTAGGGGCTGCAGTGAGCTGGACCCTTTGGGAAGAAAGGAATTCATGACTGTTTTCAGATAAGGAAAGAACTAGAGAGGTTGTCATAGAAACCATCATGGTGAGAGTGGTTCATTGGGTAAAGTCTATGGAGATGCTTGAAAATTTCTCAACAGTTGACATCATGGAAATTTGGAAGGAAGTGGTTAGTTCTGATTGTCATAAGTCCAATACAAGCCCTACTTGGTCTCCACCAATGATTGACTACACAAGATGAATTTTGATGGGAGTAGTGCAGGTAACCTTGGTCCCTCTGTTATTGGAGAGGTGTTTAGAGACGGTGAAGGCTGAATTATTGGTCTATTTTATTGCCCAATTGGAGTAGGTAACTTAAGGGCTGAGGTTATGGCTGTCATGGAGGGGCTGCAAAAGGTAAAGGACATGAAAGTAAGAAAGCTGATTATAGTAGGTGATTCAAAGCTAGTTGTGCAGTGGTTGCAAAAGGAAGAAAAGGGTTTCTGGATTTTTAATAATGAAAAGAAGAGATTCAAGTGGCTGACACAAAATATGGATGTGAAATTTAGTTGGATTAAAAGAACTACTAATGGGTTTGCCAATGTATTAGCAAAACAAAGGGGTGGGAAGGAATCATTTGTCTTGGGCTCAATTGTAACAGCAAATTCTTTGTGGAGAATTAAGAAAGTATCTCTACTAATCTTGTAATTATGTTTTTACATTTCTAATGAATTTCTGTTATTGATATTTGATAAAGAATGTAAATCCAATAATGCATGAAAATAACCCTAAATTCTAGTCCATCAAAGTGGACTAGAATTACAACTTGGTAGGACATATAATATTTGCCATTTACCAAAATAAGACATCACTACCACTTTTGATTTATCTCCAGACCACCACTAGTTTATTTGTCACTTCCATCAGTTCACTTATGTAAACCACCTCCCCCAATCTCAGCCATCAAAATAGCTGCCTATGATTAGTGAATTAATTTCGGACATCTAAATGATGTACAAAAGTTTTGGCACTACTGCCTTCCTTTCCACTAATGTACCTGTACCACTACCGCCTTTATTTTTCCTGGCCTCCACAATTGCTGACATACCACCACCTGTTTAATTTCCACTACCACCACCTTGTTCTCTAATCTCCACCACCAATCTCATCAACACCAACAAGAAAATAATAAAAAGAAATTAGTACACAAATACACAAAATGAATATTTTAGTTTAATAGTGCCTATAATTATAATTATAATGCCAAAAAACAAAGAATAAAAAAGTATTTTATAATACATAGTACAAGACTACTTGGTGATTAGGTGAGGCGAGCCTCAAAGGGTGCCTTGTGGCCTAGGCATCGCCTTGACAACTTCGTTCTCTACCACCAATCTCATCTACACCTTGTCCACAACAGTCAGCCCACTTACATTGGAGATATTTTGTCTTATAACCTTGAGGTGGGAGTGTGAAGAGAAAACATTGATATAAATGTCAGGATTCTTGAAATTTCAGTACCTCAGTTCTGGTTTCATGGGTAATCAGAACAATATTGGTACAAATTACAAAAGAAAATTTCACCAACTTTGGTTAAACCAGGGTGATAAATAGGATTCTGAATTGAGAGAAATAGAAGAGGAAAAAATTAATAGCAAGGTATAGGTGAAATATGAAAAGAGAGAAAATAGAAAGATATTTATATCTTTCAATTTCTCTTTATCTCTCTGTTTTTAGGAATTTCTCTTTACCATAAAGTTGAAATTTTGCTGTCTCTTTTTCAAAACTTTTATTTCCGGCCATGTAAAATCCAAGTATGAAATTGGAATTGCTGCTCTTGATTTGACACCTCTAGTATTGTGTACAATCTCAATCTCTAATTGTCTATATCATTTCTTGCATTTAACATAATTCTCTTTTCATTATGATGTTTCTCTGTTTTCTGCAATTTCTATCATGATCTTTTTCTGTTGACTATAAAGAAAAGGAAACTATCAGGGTCTTCAGTGTTACCGTTTGTTTTCTTTTAATCTTGTGTCACAGTTCAGCACCATAACCTTTTGTTGTAGCATTGCCTTGCAATTTATGGTTTCAAAACATTCAAGACATGAAAATTGGTATTACATATGCTACATAGGTGAAAGGATGGTTGCATTTTTTTCTAACTCTGTTTTTTGGAAACTTGCAGTGTTGTCATGTTCTTGTCTGACATGTCAGGACCATCGCCTTTGTACAAGAAGTATGTGCAGGCTTTACATTATGTTTCTGTGGATCTAGTTCACTTACTATCTTAAATAAACTCTCATACTTAGTTTAAGTTATATTTTTCTGTTTCAGGGCATTTGTTTTCTTCAGTTCGCCTACTCCACGAGAATTAGTTACATGCATAAAAGATGATACTATTGTTTTACCTCGCATAGGTGCATTGAGAGAGGTTAAATTATCTCTTTTCATTTGGTTTTGCAATTTCATGTCTTTTTAGTGGATTAATAATTTATTCCAACTGTTTTCATTTGTTGGTCTTCATTCAGTATATTTCAAATTTTGTTTTATTATTTATTATTGAAAAGTCTGATATACTGGCTACTGATTTTCTCCTTGTTTTGGTGAAACATGCAGTTCAATTTGGAGTATTTTGCGATAGACAGCCAGGTATTTGTTTATGCCCTTGCCATTATACAATTTGTTGCCTAATTTAAACAATATGGGGGCTGAGGGATTTTCATGAATCAAAATAATTAGAGATCACAGCAATTCTGTGAAGGCCATCTTTTTTTGATAGTAAATAAAAATTTTGTAAAAGAAAAAGAAGATTATGAGAAAGGTGACAAGAAGCCACCCTAGAGAAGAATAAATAACCCTACACCCAAAAAAAACACCAACCCACCACAACTCAAACCAGGCAAAACCCACCAAAACACAAAACACCAAACCATGAAGACTTAACACACTAACCAGGCCCCGATGAAACAATTTTCAAAGCCCCCACAAACTAAACTTGCACCCAAATTGCACATGACAAACACCAAACACCCAACTTGTAGCGTCACCAACCCGAAACAACCGACAAAAAGCTTACAAAAATGAAACTCTGGACCACACCTAAATACCACTCAAAACTATACATGGTTACTCAGTTTATTTAGAATCTATTGCAAGAATCTCATAACTTATCTTAAGGTCCATTTTTTTTTCTTTCTTTGTCTTTTTGTTAGGATCAATCCCAAGTAAGCCCAATGTTTTAAAAGCGCAAGGCACAAAAAAGGCACATGGGTCAATTTGCGCATGAAGTGCAAGGTGCAAGGTGCAAGGTGAGGCACACACCTTTTTAAGAAAGGTGCAAAAATAAAAAAATGTCAAAAAATAAAAAAATTCAAAAAAATACAAAAAAATAAAAAATTATTAAAAATAATATTAATAAAATATAAACTTAAAATTTGAAATAAATGTTTTAAAAAACCTATTATCTTAAATTAAAATACATAAACATAACATGTAAAACATATTCAAATAAGAATTTAAAATTTAAATCAAACATATAAAACATTTTCAAGCATATAAAACCCACAATCTCTTTTTTTCTCAATTACAATATTACATTACTTCAAGTAGCTAATGTGACATATTACATTCCTGATTCTACAAGCCGCCTTTGTGCCACGCCCCTCGAGGCAAGTCCAAACAAGTCTTTGTTGGGGTTTTAAATTCTTAGTTTTCACACAAAAAATAATGATTTTATTGTTTTAATTGCTTTTTAAGAAGATTGATGTAGGACCTTTGTGATTTGGCACTATTCTTGCAACTAAACTCAGGTTGAAATTGTTTTCAACTTTTAAGGTCGAAGACTTTTTCATGGTTTGGGGACTTATTGCTGCCTCCTCATCTATGAAACAACAATTTTTTGAGGCATGGTCTCCTTCAACAGATGGTTGGAAGAAGCTGAACTTTGATGGGAGTTTGGGTAACCCAGGCCCTTAAGGCATTGGGGGGGGGCATTAGAGATGAAAATAGACTCATTATTGTGCTGTACTCCGGTCCTGTGGAGGAGGGTGATGTGGCAAGGGTAACCCAGGCCCTTAAGGCATTGGGGGGGGGGGCATTAGAGATGAAAATAGACTCATTATTGTGCTGTACTCCGGTCCTGTGGAGGAGGGTGATGTGGCAGGGGTAGAGTTTCTAACTGCAGCATATGGGGTTGAGAAGGCTAAATAGTTGGGTATTAATAGACTAATCATCGAGGGAGACTCAAAAACTGTGATAAAATGGTTGCAGAAAGGGGAAGGGGTGATATGGAAGTTGAAGAATGATTTCCGAAGACTTAAATGGATGTCAAGGAACATGTCAATCTAGGTGGAACGGGTTAGGATATCTGCTAACAGTTTGGCAGATAGTTTAGCAAAGCAGGGGGTTCAAAGAACACATATGTTTGGGGACAAGTGGTGTAGTTGGATTTTTGGGTGTATCAGTACTTGTCACTACTCTATTATGGTAAATGGTATGGTGAGGGACTTTTTTCCAGTTTGCAGGGGTGTCAGGCAAGGGGATCCACTCTCACCCTTCCTTTTTACCTTAGTAGCTGATGTGATTAGTAGGATCA